TAGTCTTGTGTAATGCATGATTATTTATATTGCTAAAATTAATGCATGGTTATTTATATTACTTTTACTAAAAAAATTTCCTTTATATTATGCCTAGATATGGATGAAAGAAAGATTGTGGCATACTTTATTATTAGATTGTGGTTCTTGCATATCATGGTTTGGTGCATGATGTGGTTCATGGCAAACTAAAAATTTGGAACAACGACGCCAACAACAGAATGCCATTAGGAGTCAAAGGTTTTTCAAGATTGCAACTCAGTCAAATTATTTAGATAGCATTATAGGAATTGATGACATACAATGTGTGAACCAAATTAGGATGGATAGGAGAACTTTCCATTATTTATGTCAATTGAATTTGGTACTATTTTTATTAATGTATGCGAGTATGTTGGAATTTTTATGAGATACTACAATTATGATAATGGGTTATATGAAAAAAAAATCTTTGCAAAAACAATTGAAAAACAAATCTTGTCATATGAATCTTACCAAAAAAAAATTCATGTCATTTGAATCTCAATTTCCATTAAAATTATCAAAGATTTTTTTTAAAAAAAAATAGTCTAATATGATGTTATCCGAAACATCACCAAAGACAGTATAACTTAGTTAGACTATTTATCCAAAACAGCACCAAACGCCTTATAATATTATGGATAAATAGTCAGTACTCTCCGGAGCAGATTAATACTATCCGACGGAAATTAGTCAGTACAGTCCGACGTACCAAACGAGCCCTGGTGGGTTAAATTAGAAATCAAATTTTGAGAACACAGCTATAAAAAAAAATTATCACCCGCTCGTAGAGTCTCACTCAATTTCATCAACATCATGCTCTCTTTTTCTCACTTTTCCTCTTAATCTCTATCTAGTTCTTTCTCGAATTCGATGATCTCCCTCTAGTAATATTGGTCAATGTTCGGTGATGGTTTGATAGTTGGATTGGTTCCGTTGATTTGACGATGGTGGGGGTCATTCGATTGGGTATAAGTGTTGGTGGTAGAAATGGTGGCATCGGTGGTGATAGTGGTGGTGGTGCCTATTGGGTTCAATTAGGTGGTTGTGAATTCCATTGGATCTATGGTGGTGATTGTGGTTCAAGTTACGGAGTTTGATGGTGGTGATTGTGGTTCGAGTGGCCATGGATTTGTTGAAAAATGTAATGTCCCACATTGGAAACTTGAAAAAGTAAATACAATATATAATTGAGTGCAACTACTAATAACACTAAGACCTTTTTGTGATAAAACCGCACACATACTAGGGTTTTTAGGTGGTTAGGTTGGGGACAATATCGGTGTTGCTAGTAGTGGGTTGCTTGCACTAACGAACCCATAAAGGTACAAGGAGGTGCAACTTCACCGGAAAAAGCCATGGAGGTGCTGGATTTGCCCTTCTACTCTAGCGCCCACCAACTACTTGAGGGGAGTCTTACTATCGCTCGAAACAGAAGCCTCCCAATTTGAAGATTGCACGATGTTCCCAAATCTCAATTTGAATATTAGCAAGGTCTTAAATATCGATATTATCCCGATAATATCTGATTTTTGGGGGGGCGATATTTTAGCAACTAACCATGGTGTTATCGTCATAATATCGATATTATCCCGATAATATCGGGGAGATAACTTCAACATTTTAATGAATGATTTGGGCAATTTATCGAGATATTATCGATAATATCCCGATACGAAACCCAAAAAATACATGAAATTTTTTGAAAAGCCTCCCATGTTGCGCATAGAGGGATTCGAACCCCTCCCGGCTATACTTATTATGACACGTGGGAGCCTAACCGCTAGGGTGCTCTCCTTTCTTATAAATAGTATAGCCGCATGGCGGCTATACTCGGGTTTTAATATATATTTTTTAAAGTATATATTTTTCTTATATTTTTTTTAAAATAGTATATTCGATCCGCTATACTCTTTATATATATATATATATATATATTAGGATCCTTTTCTTCTTTTAAATTTTTTTCTCGATTTTCATTTATCAATAAGAGTTGTTTAGAGAATTATCCATTACTATTAGGCCATTACCTGAGTCTCTATTGTCTCCTATTCATTTTTAACTTTTCCAGAGTTATTACTTGTAAAAAATTTACCACTTTCATGTTTAATACATGTATTTTTCTAACAAAATTTTCAATAATACAAACAAAATTCACATATTATACACATAATTTTCACATATTATTGAATAAAAATAATATATATTATATTTAAAATACTATATAGTGACCGAACTTTTCAGTTGTAACTTGCCAAAATTGTTAATGATCACTAAACAATTTATTATGCAACTAAGTTTTACTAGTTTGTAGAGTTGAAATAGCAAATTAATATCTATAAAGTATAAACTAATGCAACTAGGATGTCCTTTTTTCTTTTTTCTTTTTTATTAAATAGTCTAGCAGCGTGGCGATACTTATTTTGACACATGGGCGGCTAATCGAAGGTAGGGATGGCAACGGGCCGGTTCGGGGACGGGTATGGCAATACCATCCCCATCCCCGCTCCTCATCCCCGCACCCGTCCCTGCACCTATCCCCGAAAAGAAATTTCGGGGAGTCCCCGTCCCCGTCGGGGGGTTGTCTCCCAAACCCGCCCCGAATCCCCGGTTTTTATTTATAAAAAATATACTACACTCAATTTTGACCAAAAAATAAACTCAATTACATTCAATTAAATCATAAAATTCAACTTAACTACTTAAAAGCATCTAAACAATTTGACAAACTAATAGAAATCATATATTCCACAATCAAAACTAAATATTTTATCTCAAAATACTTATTTTACTGCTAAACTTAACAACAACAAAACACATTAAAGACCTTCGAAAATACAAGATAAAAAAAACAAAAAAATTGGTAGCACTATAGCACCAGCACCGCACCTTTATCAGACAATATGGAATGGAAGGAGGTTCTAATAACGAAGATAGAACACATAAAAAAATAATTTCCATATGTTTCTTGGTCAACCAAGAAAATCATGAATTGTTTCCTATTGGTTTATTGAAATATATATTCTATATTCTATATTCATTAATTAAAAAAATTATATATATCACTAATCGGGCTGGGTTTGGGGATGGGGACAACGATAACATCCCCGACCCATCTCTAATTGGGGATTTTTAAAATTCGGGGATCCCCATGCCCGCCCCCGATTTTCCCCGAAATCTTCCCCCGTTAGGGGTGGGTACCCGACGGGGACCCGACCCGGCGGGGATTTTTGCCATCCCTAATCGAAGCGGTACTTTGTTTAAAAATAAAAAAAAATAGTATAGCAGTTCGGCAATACTCCTTTTTTTTAATTTTAAAAAATAGTAAAGCAGCGCGGCTATACTTATTTGGACACATGTCACAAGGTGGGTCCCCTTTTAAAAAAATATAAATAGTATAGCCGCTTGGCTATAAGTATTTTGAGCGCTAATCGATGGGGTCCTCTCTTTTTTCATTTTTTATAAATAGTATAGCCGTGCGGCTATACGCGTTTTTTATTTATTTATAAAAATTGTATAGCCTCGCGGCTATACGCGGTGTAATTTATAAAAGAAAGTATAGCCGCGCGGATATACTTTTTATTATAAAAAAAAGTATCGCCGCTCGGCTATACTCATGATATTTTTTTGATAAAAAAAGCGTATAGAATGCACTTTCTGTGTTTGGAGTTTAGTTTGCCCCTCCGCTTTGTCTTGAAGGTGCCCACCACATATTTGATAGAATGCCTCAGCGAACTTTGTGTGTTGGCTACCGTGTGCAGGCGCATCGCACTTTAAAAAAAATAAAAAAAAAGCGTGGCCAAAACGACATCAGTTTTTACCATGCCTTAGAAAAAAGAAGAAGAAGGAAATCTGCTTCAATACAAAGAAGCCACTTACCCTCTTACTCCACGAAACCTGCAAGCAAAGCAAATAAATCCGTATACAATACAATAACATGAGTCCAAGCTAGCGATGGAGAGGATCTAATCATCTAATGATACATGCGTTGAACTTGAATTGATTCTTGCGTTGAATTATTGTCTTGCCTTGACACTTGAAGAGGCTATTTCTTAGTTGTTGTAGACCACAAGGTGAAAAACTCAATCACGCCCCTGCATTTTTTTTTTCCTTCCAGGTTTTTTTTTTCTCTCCTAGTTTTCTTCTCTTATGTTTTTTCTTTTATTTTTTTTATAATTTTTTTATTTTTTATTTTTTTGTTTATATATATATATATATATATATATGTATGTATTTATATAATCAGTAGCAAACTCAAATAAGCTGCGAAGAGTGCGACTCGCTAATTGCATTTTGATTGGTTTGTTTAATTGATAATTTGTTATGCATTTTTATTATATATAGATTAATTAATATTAATTTTCATAAATTAATTGATGATTTGATATGAATTTTGGTAGATTAATTGTGTAATAGACAAAATTTTATATATATTAAATATTGCCCCTCCGCTAAAAAAAAATCTTGAATCCGTATTATTTAAATTATAAGGATATTTTTGGTTGTTAATGTTTTTAAAAAGCTTCCGTGCTTGGCAGATACAACGATGAAACTGGAGTCACCTACCGAAGAAACTATTCCAACTAACCCCTCATTGTTTATGTACTATTCCAAACACATCAATTTTGTCCCAGTTCTTCAAGTTCGATCAATGTTATCTCCATCCTTTTATCCCACACATCAATCTCATCCATGAAGTCAATTCTGTCCAATTTTCTGTCAAAACTATGGGCAATATCATAAAATCAACAAGAGTTGTGCGATCGTTGAAACACCACACAAACTTGAGGGTTGTTTAGCTTTTATTTATTATTGAACTTTCAAATTAGATTGTATAAGGATTCATTTAGAGCGTAGAATTAATGGAGTTCAGAGGGTAAGATTATGTTTTAGCTGAGAGCAACGTTCAGAAATTCTAGCATCGTGCTTGCAGCTTGTGAAATGCGAATTTATTTGATAGTTCTTGTGGGTCATGGGGGGAAAACATATTTAAGAAATTTCAAACACAACTAATCATGAATACAATTTTGGCTCAATAACAACTATGTAAACAAAAGGGAACTTGAGCAACTCAATACTGTAGTGGCCTTTCTTCAACCTGTTGATTTCTTATTTGCTCAGGTGTTCCTTGCTCTGGTGTTCCACGGTCTTCATCATTGCCTGCAAACTGATTCATCATAACTTCTCCAAATTTACCCAACATCTGTGGGTTCATTGGTGCTCCTTGTGGTGGTAGGCCATTAGGCATGTTGGCCCTACCGTTTTGTCCTAAAATGCACAAAAATATGTGTCACAATATCAAACATTACTGAGAAAAATGTGGAAAGAAACTTAACTGTAATGTGATAAGTTGAATGACATGCGCGGTCTAGTTAAAAATAACGTGTTACAAAAGCTATGCAAATACACATGCAATTTAATAGAGATTATAGGTTGTGTGCTGACCTGCATTGGTTGCTGCTATGGCAGCTGCTCTTCTCCTTTTACTTTGGCTCATAGCACAGACAAAGATCACCACAATAACCCAGAAAACAAAGAAAGCTGGAATTGCAATTCCAAGAATTAATGGTAGCTTGCTGCTTTTTTTCTTGCTGCTGCTACCAGAAGAAGGGCCTCCACTGTTATCAACTATTGTCTTACAGGACCCACCAAAGACACACAGATTAGGGTTGCCTGACGACCTTTTTCCCCCCAAAAAAAGCAAAAATTAAATAATTGAAAAAAAAAAAAATTCCAAATTTGAGAATACAAGCAAATAATAAAAGAATAGAGAAAAATATTTAATATGCACCAAATTACAAAGAATAATAAAAGAATAGAGAAAAATATTTAATATGCACCAAATTACAAAGGACGCAATTGTTCCCCCAAGAAAAGTCCCGGGTTCGAGTCCTAACATCCGTATAATGTGTGTAAGTTTAGTATGTTGTTGACTCTCTCAATAAGAAATGTCATATAAAAAAAACTGAGCTTATACTTACACTAACTTCAGCTTGTTATTGTTTGAAATTGTGGTTGGTATGGGTCCACTGAGTTTATTGTCTGCCAAATTCCTAATAGATGGACAAAATTTCTGGTTAATTATGCAGAAATTAATTAGATGGAATATCATATGCTAGGAGAAATTTTCTAGGAAAATCTCACAATTGTTTTAGATTAGGCAAGGTGCCAAGAAAATCAGGAATGGATCCACTCAAGCTGTTGTTGTGCAAGTCTCTGCATTTCAAAAAATAATTCAAAAGTGACATAATTAGATTTTTGTAACAAAAAAATAATAATAGGTTTTCTGCAATTTACAATTTATTTCTTTTCTTATGCAACTTACATTGTCTGAAGAGCATCCAAGGAGCTGAATTCTGGGAGTTGCCCAGAAAGACCAAAGCCACTCAGATAGCTGAAGGTTTCAAATGCATTACAAATTATAATAAATATATTTTATTAATATGAAAAAATAAGACAAAAAACTTTAAATTGAGCCAAAAAAGAGAGTAAATAATAAATAATTACAGTGCTGTGACGCGGGGTGTGTCGCCAGCAGAACAATTGACCCAATCCCATGTAAATGGGGACGGGAGGCATGGGTCACCAGTCCATTCCTGTAGTATGCTAAACTTATCTTGCAACGTAGCTAAACCTGCCACTGATAG